TTTTGGGCGATTTTTTTTTAATTTTTTTTTTTTTTAAATAGCCCCTCCGCTGAGGTTTCCCTTCGGAGCTCGGGGAGCCCGCCCCAAGCGCCGAACACAGCTTTTGTGAGAGAGGCTAACGCGTCTGGCGTGGAAGAGGTCTCTTATCTTAATGAACAGCCCCCTAATTAACGCGGAGGTTGGGGCAGGAAACGGTGGCCTTCTGGGGAGGGGGATTTCTCTTTTGCGCCAACTGCCCGAGGAGGCCCCGGGAAGGGCTGGGCGGGCTCCCGGCGCCCCCCGAGCAGCCCAGATAAAGTTCCACGTGTCTCTTCTCCCCGAGTCCGCGCCCCCCCCGCGAGGCGAGCCCTGAGGGAATCAAACACTCAGATTCAAAATCGAGCCAGTAGGACCATTACTAATTAATACAGCCCCGCTAATGAGTCAGCAGAAGCCAATCGGTTTCGTTGTTGCTCCGAATAATTTGATTAAACGCGGATGTGTGTCTTTAAGAGGGGAGAAAAAAAAAAAAACACACAAACCATGAAACAAACATTTCCACCTTCATTTTTCAACATGGCAGTTACCCCATAGCGGAAATATAATTCTTGGCCCAGGGCAGGGACAGTAACAGTAACAATTTCATCAGTAACAGTGCTGATGAAATTCGCTGAGACGCTTTTAATTCAGCCGTAACCCTGCAGTTCCTGGAGATAACATGAGGTTGTTCGGTCCGAACTGTGTTTACTCATAATCCGTGCCCATTACGACAGATTGAATAGCCTAATTTTAAACGCGCTCTGACGAAAAGGGACATTCGTACGAGCCCCGTTTCCTAAAGTAGCTTTCAAAGGAGTTTTGTTGTTGTTGGGAGACTATTTGTCTCATTTCCGGGGGCAGATTACGATACCTATAAAACAGTAGTGAGTTAAAACATCTCTCCACAATAGTTTGTATTGTTCACAGTCTCAGCTGGACTTTCACATTCAGATGTTGATTGCCTCCAATTTTTTTTTTTTTCCCCCCAACTTCCTTAACCTCTTCAGGCCGGCTAATCCATAAACACACCTGGTAGAATTACAGCTCACTAGCTGCATGCTTTGGGAGGTCATTTCAGAAAAGTGTATTCCCTGAAAGCCAGCCTTCTCCAGAAAAAAGTTTTTTTTTTTTTCACTCGATGCGAATGGAGTTAAAAAAGGAGGAAACACCAGCAAACGGGCACACAGCACGCTAAATACAAAGAGGTTTTAAAAAGAGCAGATTTTCGCCAACATAGGTCAGAACGAAAACGTACCGTGAAAAATGAATACTCGGGGCACGCGAAACCCACCGGCCCTACTTTAAAAAGTTGTGGCCAGACGGTCTTTTGTTTGAATCCATCACACGGAGACGAAAATTAAAAAAAAAATCGCGCCAGGCTTAGCTATATTTACATTTTATAGCATCGGTTACAGACTGATTTTTTTTTTCCCTCTCTCTTTCTTTTTTGTTTCTTTCCTCTGTTTCAAGTTATTGTTTGCGTCCAATTCAAAGTGTCGAAAGCCTGACCGCAGGCAGCGAAAACATTTCTTCGTTGATCCCGTAATATTAAAAGGACTGAAATGTGCACGTTTGCCTGGCTGGGTCGTGTTAGGGTAGTTACAGTGACAGCTAAACAATCTGCACTGCAATCTCCGCTTCAGTCACATTCAGGCATCCTCTCCGCTCCTCCCCCTACCCCCAGAAAACCCCGAATTACAATAATCTGTTACCCCCCCAGCTCTGCCGGGGAAATGCCCTGCCCGGACACATTTCGCAGCAGTTTCCCTCCACCGTTTCCACCCTGGAAAGCAGAAAGCCGGCCGCTGCATTTTTCCACCGCAACAAAGTCACACTTTGCGATACCTACGTATTTCATCCGCCTTTTATTTGTTTTCGGAATTCCCCGCACCCCCCAGCACCTCCACCACCAAGCACTTCTCCTTCCTCCTCCCGTCGAAAACCCGGCCGGCAACCCCAGCCACCCTCGGGTACAGGTGCGGGGGGCAGTTACCCTCTTAAGCTGAAAAGCCTCCTTCTCCTCGTATATAAAACCACTTACAAATCCATCTCATGCTCGGCAGCGTCACCAAAACCAACCTTTAACTAATAGCTCCTAATCCAAATAGTTTGGGCAAGGAGAACCGTTGTTTAGTGGCGGGGTATAC